CCGAGGCAGAGTTGCTCTGCCCCGGGCTTCCTGGAATCAGCTGCTGATCAGTTTCAGCAGCAGCTGACTTGGGGACACCTGGGGTTCTTAAGTTGAATCTGTATGTAAGTCGGAACTGGTGTCCAGACTGATCAGTTTCAGCAGCGGCTGAATCTGGACGCCAGTTCCGACTTACATACAGATTCAACTTAAGAACAAACCTACAGTCCCTATCTTGTACGTAACCCGGGGACTGCCTGTACTGACAAACAACAAGGAGACAATCTCTGCTCACACACTAAGAGTTGGACAGGACTCCACAGGTCAATGGGGTGGGTGGGAGAATGAAGTAACGAACAGAGCTTAGCAGAAGAATGAGTGCCTCTGATTACCATTTGCCTAACCCATTCCAGGCGGACATGATTTGTAGGAGGTAGACTGTAAGGTTGCACTCCATGAATTTTGATAAGGAGTTTTCACTATGCATGGAGATTCAACAAGTGCTTGCAACCTATATATGGGGAGAGAATTGGTAAACATGAGAGAATTATAACAACTGCCCTCCATGTGCCAACTGTTTGCATTCTTTCTCTTCTGGGATACCTGTTTCCAGAGGGCTCTGGGCCCTGTACATGTATAAAGTATCTTTCCTCCCGCTATGTCTCATTGCCTCTGACTTCTTTGCAGACTCCCTGCTGGATGGTCAGTACGTGGAAACCAGCCAGAAAGACTACGGAAAAATGAAGAGCTGACAGATGAAGAGAAGGAGATCATCAACCGAGTAATAGCTCGAGCAGAGAAAATGGAAGAAATGGAGCAAGAGCGTATTGGGTAAGGAAATTACATTGCCACTCACTCCATGGAAGCGACAAGATGGTAACATGGGTCAGCGCATGGGCTTCCCTTTTTTTCTAAGTATTGGATTCAGAGCTGTGGTATGATGATCATAGGAGAGCCCATTTGATCTTTACCGTACAGAACTGCTTCTGCTTGTTACATGCTACCCTCTCTCTCCTTCCAAAACCATCTGAGCCCAGACATGTTTCATGCTAACATGACTTTGCCCATCTTAAATGTCTGGGTAAACTGAAATCAAATCTTCCGTTAGAAGATGATTGATTCTCCAAAAGTGGCCCCTACATTTTGAAATCCAGTTTTAAGATCTGTTTAGATAAACATCTATCAGAGATAGTCTAGATGATGCTTGCTCTTGTCAGGGGACAGAACTTTATGACTTCTCAAGATTAGGGATGTTAAATTGTGTTTAATCAGCTAATTGAGTAGTTGATAGAATTTCCAGTAACTACTCGAGTAGTTGATAAGGGGGAAAACTGCAGAGCCACAGCAGGGTTAGCTCCTGGTCCCGTGAGCTAACCCCGCTGCAGCTCTGCCTTTTAAATGTATTAAGAGCCTGGCGTCTCTTAATACATTTAAAAGGCAGCAGCGTAGCAGGGGGATTGGGCGCAAGCTGGGAATCAGCTGATTCATGGCTTGTGCCCGGTCCCTCTGCTACACCTCTGCCTCCTCTGCCCCCCTGTGGAGACAGTGCTGTCTTTTAAGCTGGCTCCCACTCTCCCCACCCCTTACTGCCTCTCTCTGATTGAGGTAGCAAGGCTAGAGGAAGCAACTAGTTGAGTCACTACTCAACTAACCAATAAGCACATACTTAATCAGGTAGTCAACTAGTCACTTACATCCCTACTCAAGACCTCTTTCAGTCCTATGATTTTGATATAGCATGGGCCCATTTCTGCAACTTTTCCTAGCCCCAGTATGTCAAAGTTTCAGCTCAAGAAGCTGCTGGAAGAGCAGAGCCTGTAATTAACACAGGCTTCACTGCAAGGGAACAGAATCTAATGGGGCTGATTTGAGTTCTGTTTGCTGCTGATATGCTGGGCTGTCCAGATAAGTACACACTTGTGGTATGTAGAAGGACGTCCATGGTGTATCCAGGTTCTGTTGAGACTGGCTGTATGAGATACTGGTTCAGAGTCATCCATCTGTTCTAGGGTAATATACAAGAAGAGTCTTGCTTTTAGCTGAGGTGTTGGAAGGTATATTGTCACACTACAAAGCAATAGGCATCTCTGCCTGCCACAGCTCTGTCACATGGTTGGTATTGGCCATTTGGTTTATGCTGTTTGAGTGAAGTCCTCAGTCTTGATTCTCTCAGCATCCCTGTCAGTATCTCTTGTGCTCCTTTCATTAGTTGGTGGACTCTTCCTCTCCTCCCTGGTTTTTAATCTCATTTAAATGGCAGTCTAGGCTTTTTTGGAGGTCACAATGTAAGAACTTGCACCTGTGTGGGTGGTTGGTGGGGTGGATTGGACCTTGGACCTCTGGATCGGAAAGTGTGATTCTCTCTTACCTAAGCTAAAAGAACCAGCTCTGTTAGCACAAAGCCAGGAGCGAACTCTCAAACCTAAAGTTGTCAGCCACTAAAGGAGGACCGAGACCATGCTGAGTAAGCATGGAATACGGCTGTGTCCATGTAAACAGCTAACCTCCAGAACCTCCAAGATAGGATGTGTGCAAGATAACATCCAGCACCTCCTTGGAGGCAGCCTCCAGGTGGTCCTTGCCAGGCCAGAAACTGCTCTGTGTCATTGTTGCTAGTCCAGTTGCTCTATTGTCATTGCTGGCCAGGCATCAACGACAGAGCAGAATTTGGCATGCTAAGTTTTGTCCATGGACCTGAATCCTCTCCTCAGGTCAAGTGCTTGTAAATGGACTTGGGGTGCAGGGGAACTCTGAAGGCATACAGCATCTTACCATCCATCCTCCTTTCCTTTCCTTTCCCTTCCCTTTCCTGGGTTACAGAACTCCACCCGAGCAAATCTGCAGCAGCTGAAGGGTTGCTGCTGTGCCCACCACAGCTCCCCAATCAAACTCTTGCCTGATGATGTGGTGGAACATTGTTTAGCGTGCAAGGGGGTGGACCCTTGTGTCATAGGGGTCTGCATCCTGCCCCTTGTCCCGGAATCCACCGGGCTGCAGGTGCTCACAGAGAGGTCTATGTACCTTAGGACTGACTCATGACATTTTGATGGTGGTGAGGAAGGGGGAGGTTATTCTCGCAGTGCCCGTCTCCTCTCTGGGTCACAAAGGGAGACCCAGAGAGGAGCTGTCCCACTGAAAGAGGCCGTTTAGAGACAGAACCATTTGCTTTGTGTTTCTGTGGTTTAAAAAACTCCAACCTCTTGTGGAAGTTTTGCTCCGATGTCCTCACCATCCTACGAGGCAGTGGTCCCTTTGAATTGCTGCTTGAGAGATCACCACCTGAGCAAGTCCTGGGGTTGCTGGAGAGGATGGGTGTGTGTGTGAGGCGTCCATGCCCAGAGATACATTCCTACTTGCATTGGCTCCCAGGCCCAGTCAGAGGGATGGGATGGGATGGGAGGGGCAAAATTCTCTTGACTAATTATCTAGACAGCAGCAACTGCACTGCAGTGTTCTACTAGGGGAGGGACGGAAAATGCCTGCAGAGAATCTCTCTAAGCTGGCACTGCTGGCCTGGAGAAATCTGTTCAATAGGGAAAAGCCACTACAGCCTGTTGCGTTCTCCACCTAATTCAGCACTCAGATGGAAACTGTTATCAGAGCGCAGAAGTCTCGCCTCATTGTGTCCATTTGCTGCTTTGCTCCCCATCCACACTCCTTTGCTAATTGCGATAAACATTCCATTGTAACTTTCATTTATTTACTTAAGTGAGGCTGGCAGTTGAATTAGCCAGTTGATGATGTTGCTGTATGGATGATTGTTGGTCATGTGCACGGTGTTGTGTTCTACTGGAAAAATATAGGATTTAGAGGGTGTTTAAGGACTGAAGGGGGCATTATACTAGATAGCCTAGCCTGCATCACACTGACTTTCCTCCCGTTACTACTGTGGTGGGCCCAAGAACATGTTTTTGGCTGGAACATCTTATTGAAAGAGACCTCCAGTTGGGTAAATCTAGACTGCTTTCCTCTTCCGAAAGAGGAAATGCAAATAAACTACTGATTAGCATAGTCTCATGCGTCATTTGTATATTTTTTTCCGACCCTTTTTGCAAATCTGTCAGAGAGGCTCTTCTGATGAGGACACAGATGCTGGTGCAAAAGCTTAGAGCCTTGCAAATTCGCAGATATCCACTTTGTATCCACATCCACAGATGCAGATATCCACAGCTCATTTTTGCGGATACAGATGTGAATGCGAATACACAGTGTGATCATGTATCCGCACAGGGCTTTGCAGAAGTCTTTGAAGGTGGTTAATTTTCTCCTGTAATTCAGGTGCTGAACTTCAGGCCGGCCCCAGTTTGCCTGCATCTGGCCCCTGAGGCTTGGGGCTCTTCCTTAGCATGGGGGAGCCCACGCTGTCACTCCAGTCCCCTGCTTTCACCTGTAGGGCTGGAGCACACAAAATCTATTAGTCTGGGCCCCCTTAGGCTGTGGTATGTGAGGAAAATGAGGAGCAATGTCTTTCTGCTTCTCCGTCAGGCTATGTCAGTAAGGGTCTTTTTTATTTTTATTTATTTATTTATTTATTTAAATTCTCACTTGAGTGCAGCCCCTGAATGATTTCTCTGTGGGTTAGCGGCTCCAACCCCCAAAAAGCTACCCCACCCCTGCTGTAATTTAAGATAAAAGATACAGTTGTATAAGGATCCCGGAGATTTTTGTTCATTTGCAGGCTACTTCAGAGTAACAGCAACATGCCCGATTCAAAGAGGCTTGATTCAAAGACAAGCATGTTCTCTAGTACTGCATGCTCCCCTCCCCCAACACCCCGACTTTCTGTGGAATGCATGAGCAGGGGGAGGAGGGGAGATCAGAAGCAAATGGATCAAAGGCAAACTTCACAAACATACCTTCAAATGTATGCTAAAATACCCAGCTAGAGTGATGGTGGATATTCCACCTGGGAAAATTCACTTAAAATCACCCAGGAATAGAGCAACATCTCCAAGCAAAGACACCCGCCCCCCCCACTTTTTTTTCTTTTTCTTTTTCTTTTTGGCGTCAAAGGAAATTTTCCAGTTGCAAAATCTGTCACTTTTTGTCTCCTGAGCTCCTTGTGATTCCAGACCCTCACCTTAAAAGAGCATATTGATTTCTTGTCTTTACCATTTGTGATCTCTGCCTTTGTTTACAGTCGAGATTTGTAGTTATTGGCGTTGAATGTTTACAATAACTAACAAATTTCAGCAAGGTTGTACAATGTCCTCAGTAGGCAGGCTGGTTTTTGTGCAGTCTGGCATAACATATTGCTGTGTTTTGATGGAAACGGCTCTCTTCATAAGCTGGTCTTAACTTTTCACCTTCACTCTTCATGTTGCTGATGTTCAAACTGCACACGTTCTGCAGGGACTGCATCAGCGATCTCGTTTTTCTTTGTTGTTTCTCCTCCCTCCTTTGTTGTTTTATCCATTCATAGCCAGCCTTTGTTATGTTTCAATATGTGTGTAACTAGCTAGCATCCTGGTGGGTTTGGATCAAAGGTAGTTTGATGAAATGTGTGAGATTTTTTTACTTGCGGTGAGGAGTGCTTCCAAAGTGTGGCTCTTGCGTGGATAGAAATGAACGTCCCTGCACATGAAATAGTAATTGCAGGCATATAAAAATGGTGAAAGCCTAACAAAGGCCTCATTGAATCACACTGATATTCAATGCACTTAAACGTTGAATGTACCTTCGAAGTTCAGAATCATTCAGTATCTTGAGCTGAGAAGACTGGAGAATGCGGTAGGCAAGAGAGCCTGCCTGGGCCAGATTTGGCTTGCTAAGCTGGTTGATCCAGCCCAAAGCCACCCTGTTGCTCCTGCACCCCCAAGTCCATCGAGAGC